TTGTTGACGTGCTGAAGTTCACAAGGGAAATCAGATGTCAATTTGGCCGTAGGATCCTGTAACTTGCCGGCAAACAGTACAATGTTTCAGATTCATTCGCACTGCCTTTAAATTGATTAGCTCTTAATTCTCTGCGGTGGTAAACTTTGTAGCAAATATTGAGCAAGATGTATTTGTGCCTGCCTCTTGGCATCGGCACTTATTTGTTTGTTAAAGCATTTGTTTATGTGCTTGTTAGTCGAGGCATGTAATGCCTAAAAAAAAGTGATAAATCTTATGCAAACGCTATAAATGGATTTCAGCCAAGGACAATTTCGGATCCTCTGCAGTTTAAAAATATGGCATATGGGGATGTTTTTGGGGTAGACGATAAATCAGATTAATCCTTTACAGCCTGTGATAACCTGGACAATGTTAAGCTGACAGAGATCGGGTCTGTCCACTGTGATTATGCAGAATAAATATAGTGTAAATGTGATACGCAGAGGCTGGCGTGCTGGCAGTGTGTGTTTGTCAGGGTACATTAACCTGCGCCTGTTTGCTTTGCACTGTTGAAATAGGCACTGATGGCTGAGCTACTTTCATAGATACACATACGCGCACACACACACACACACACGGTCTTATTCCCTCTGTCTCCCTCTCTGCCAGACAGAAAAAACAAATGACTTCACAAGGAGTGCTCAAGCTAATAAACAAATATTGAATGAAGTGACCTGGGCTTTCCCACTCAATAAACTGTCAGAAATGTCACTAGTCGATCAGGGGTGCGTTTCCCAAACAACGACATAACTCGCGGCAGAACTATCATAATATGATGCAACTTTTGGGAAAAGAACAATGCAGTGAGGAGTGTTTCCCAAAACCGTAGTTGCTTTGTCGCAGATCTGTCATTTAAATCACATTAGTTATAACGTAAAATGTCCATAAATGCTACTTATTAAGAAGTGAAAAAAAAAATCCTACTCAATAATAATAACAATTATTATTATTATTATTATTATTATTATTATTATTATTATTATTAAGTGGGATTTTGTTAATTTTATTTATTGTAAAAGTCTACTTTTACAATTTGACACATTTAAACCACTGCAAAAATGTTCTAACCAGCAGGACCATGTCATATACAGAATATACAATTTTAATAAATAACCTACTATAAATTAAAAGTATTAACGAATACTAAATATTTTTTTGTTTTCGTAAGCTTTGGAGACGTAATATAAATTCTGCTTTTAAATAATAAATATAACAATAAAAATAATTTCATCATGAGCCATGGCTGTATTCAAAATGACATGGGATGTGAAAATAAGGGATAACAAAATGTCCCACATTACAAAATATATTCATCTAGAGCAATGATCTGGAACTGTTTTATTGTAAATAAAAAGTTGAAACAATCAGTAATATGTTTTTTTATTATTATTATTATTATTATTATTATTATTTTAGCTTATTAAAATGTATAGCTATTATCAAGAAATTGAATCATAATTATTTTCTTCATTGTATAATTTAAAGATTCCGATTAAAGAGCAGCGAATAAATCTCTCATTTATTTTTTATATTTAATCACATTAAATAACAGAGGTGTCACTTTGAAAATGCACGGATCTATAATGAAAGCATTCGATTGCTTTCCTAACTGTTTACATTAATTTAAGAATAAATTTGTTGTGTTTTAAAGAAAACCCTCCAAGATTGACATGATTACATTATTATGTGTATGTCTGTTCAAACACGCACCCAAAAATACAGAGTATTTAATTTTTCTCCGGTTCTAATCGTGTGTACAGAATCCGTTTGGGAAACAGCGTCTATTTATAAATATGGACCGTGTCTGACAGTCAGCACATTATTTTTTTTGAGGACTACATAGGAGGGGTGAAGATGCCTGCAATGGAAAGGAAGGAAATCCTGCCATTTTTATATTTATTTCAAAGTGTTTTCATGCCTAAATAAAATGAAAGCACAAAACAAATTCACATATAAGAGCAAGGGGTGTCCCCTGGTGGTTCGGCGGTATGGGTTATGTATAGGAAGGATTGACTCTTTAATGTTTATTGCTACCCTTTGATTAAAAATACTGGAGAAATACCTTTACGGGATGATATCGAGATAAAATTGTAAAATACAAGAGAATCCTGGAAAAAACAGGTGGGTTGACAGGTATGAACTACACCTCTAGAGTTGTAGTTGAAAGCGTACAAGTTTGGAATGCAGTTTGCGAATGTTTGTTGGAACGATGGATTTGGGAAATGCCAAACCGAACAATGTTTGTAACAACAGAACTTGTAACATTAGTTGGCTAATGATGGTTTTCGGAAACGCACCCCAGAGCAGGTTATTTTTTGTTTTGTTTTGTTTTGAACAAACTCATCTCAAGCATAACGCACAAAATTGTCATTTACTGCAGGAGACAAATCAGTGAAGTGCCACGGAAAGAAGCTTAATGCATCTATCAATCTGCGAGACTGACTGCGGTAACATAATCTAAGAGGCCCGTCATTATGATTTAGCTCTGCATACATTTGTTTTCATTTCAGGATGTGATAAAGGTGCTTGTTGGTGCGTAATATTAAACTAGTAACTTTGACTTTTTCAGTCTGCAGTAAAGCACACTAAATATGAAGGCCACATGATTTATGGAGCATGGAGGAAAGCTGAATGCAACCTTCCTCTCACTTCTTTTTTTATTGCCCTGGGTGTTATTTGAACCATTTGATATAAGGTAAAAGGCTATAACATGCTCTTCCTGGATGAATATGTGATACGGGAGAGCGACAATATCAAGCAACTGACACTGGTGACCTTTTATTTTTTTTTCTTTATCTCGTTTGTTTTTTTCCCGTCACTCGCTGCCCTTTTTCAGTTCCCAACCAGGCGACGTGTGCTTTTACCTAATCAGAGGATGATGCGGACATGTGTTTTCTCTGCAATCAGGGGTCTATGTTCACAATGTGACCTCTATTTTCGATGTGTCAGAAAATCTGAAAAACCATATCATGAGCTGGTTGAGAATTGGTTCAGCTTCAAAGCGGCATTGTCTTATTTGTAAACCATCAAAAGAAAGCGAATCTGGACTCGAAAAATTGCATGCATGCTGTTTCTGTATCACGATCGAGATCATCCGAGCTAAAATCAAAATGGCAGGTCGTACTGTGAGTTCCTTTTCGGTCTCAACAAATCCTTATGTTGTGCTTCTTTCGTTCCGCCATGTTGTACAACAATGAAGTCTAGAGTTTTTTTTTAATAATGACCGAAATCAACTCTAATATAAAAAGCTTTGAATCAATTTTAGTCTTACCTTTGTTATTAACTTCAATAATCTGTATCTGGTCTATAATGGATGGCCATTAGTACAGGCCTTGTTGAACTGATTTCATGATGTATTGTCTTGTAAATCGTTTCGTGCCACCGTTGCCCTTGATGAAAAATGAGCCCAATTAGTGATATGCTCATCTCCATGTATAAGTAATCTAGGACAATAATGTAACTGCGACTGCATTTAATCGAACTCAGTCGCTTATATGGACTGGCTTCTTCAAGAAGCCTATGAGCCAAAGATCAAACTGACTAGACAAGTGCAATCTGGATTTCAGGATCATTTTTCTATTTTCTCCATCTCATAAACAACGGAAAAATTGAAACGATTGGCGTAATACTGATGTCTGGTAATTGAAATTGAGATCTGGTTATCATATTTCATCAATGCTCCTATAGGCTTCACACACGCTGAGCCTGTGCGAGGTCAGCGAGGTGGACGGCATGCGGGTACGTGCTATGAACAGTTGATTTAAATGCATACTTTATAACCTTTGGTGGAAGTTAACAATGAAAAAGTAGAATAATCAGATGACCTGCGTGAAACAGAAGCTAAATAGGCTAAAACTACCTATTATTATGTGCTGTCTATATCTGTTATTTCAGTTAGGGTTGGCTATTAAAATTATTGGTTTAAATATTTAAGTGTGTAACATTATAGAAAACCTAAAGATCATTTAAGATGCACAGCTGAGTTGCTGGAAACTGTTAATTTAGTCTGAATGGTTAGCTAACATAGTGTCGACTTAAAAATACTTTTTACCACAATCGCAGATGTTTTGTGAAACATTGTTAATATGTATCTTTAAAATGCATATTTAATTTGACTTAATTGACTGACAAGAGATTTTAAAAAGAATGTTACAGAAATGCAAGTCTGACATGCATGTCACATGTCTAAAGTTTTCTCATTAGGCTACTAAATGCCATGTTGGGAACTATATTCTTATGATAAAATATGCAATAAACAATAAACCACCAACATTTCTCTGTTGACTTGCTTTGCATTCTTAAATATAAAGGTTTCACATTGGTATTTTTGATGTGATGCCAAGGAAGAGCCTTTTTAGATTTCAAAAAGAACCTTTTAGAGACCTTTTTTTAATTCAGTTATATAAAGAAAATAATTCACTTTGTCTAATTGATGTGAAATATTCTTCATGGAACCACTGGTGCCAATAAAGGAGTGTAGAGTTCAGCCCCTATACACAATCAAACATAACCCGCACCATGAGTTGTTCCCTGAAGATAAATGGTTAACTACCTGTTTGTGCTGGATTACATGTGCAAACATTTTCATGGTATGGCAAGTAAAGGAAGAGACTGTTGGATGTCGGACAAGTCAGCTCACATCTAAGCAACTCTATTCATGAATGTCTCATCATAATGCTTACCCCAAGGTTGCAAAATGCCACAAGTTTGTGGTTATTTTCGTGCAGCTGAGCGGAATTCAAATCCATTAAAGTGTATGAGGACACGGATTATTTGAACTTGCAAACGATATCTGCAGCGGGTCAATAAAATACTCGCTACGTGAAAGGCTGTGCTTTTAAAACAGTGCTATTACTATGTAGTCTCCACATATTGGCAGACGCTGACCTACTGCAGTTACTAACAAGTCGAGGCAACAAACAAAACTAAGCTGGCATGTTTCTCGTGCGTTTTCTTACCTCGTAAAACGCGGTTTAGGTCCTCATCGTAGATGAACAAAAACTTTACAGTAGGTATCCAAAACTTATTAAAAGCAGCAGCTGTGAGATGAGGTAAAATAACGGTTAGGACGATAAATTTCCCGCAGTCACGCCTTCCCGCGTCGCTCACACACGGAGTGCTCTGGAGCGGGGGGAAATTCCTCCGCAAACGACCAGCCACAGACACGGTCTAAATTACGAGACAACGACCCGGATCCGGAGAACCAGGAGCCACTGTGTCCCGAAGCGGTTAGTTCTAGCTGTGTCAGAAACACATGTGATGGAGAGCCGAGGACTGTACCACTCCTCTGTTCTCCCTGTATGTGTGTATGTGTGCGCGCGCTGCGGTGCTGATGAGAGACCGGTCGTTTGCGCGGGATCTGTGCGATATAGTGTAGTGAGGCAGTGTCATTAACTGCACGAGGAGGACACGGAGCAGCTGAATGCGACAACACTGATCAAATCTTATTTTCATTTCTTTTTTGTGTTATTCAAATAAAACTGACTTTATCGAGCTCTGTAATAATTGGACAATATATCAACATGTATATGGACGGAAGTCATTTCGCTTTCCCTTTTCATAAACTTTTAAAAGGAAAATGTGCACTTTCATTGACCCCAATGTTTTATACCGAGACGTAATTGAGTATATGTTAATGTTACAGGTCACTGTTTAAAATGATGTGTACATAAGGGATTGTTTTAATTCAAGTTTAATTGTAGTTCATGAACTATCAATGACAACCAAGTATAAACAAAGACAGACACAGATAGATAGATAGATAGATAGATAGATAGATAGATAGATAGATAGATAGATAGATAGATAGATAGATAGATAGATAGATAGATAGATAGATAGATAGATAGATAGATAGATAGATAGATAGATAGATAGATAGATAGATAGATAGATAGATAGACAGACCACACAACTAGTGGGTTAGGGGGTAAGGAATGGTCAACAGCGTAATCAGTGTGCGAATTATGCATTGACAATCAGAGAGGTCAACTTTCTCGAAAATGTTATTCGTGTAATAGATCTTCAGTGAAATACATGTATGTATTTATTTAAATGACATCTGTTTTATGAATAAAACCTATTTAAGTTTTCGGTGTATTTTTGTGTATTCTGAGCTATATCCTCTGATTAGCTATTTCAGAGGTTACTTTAGATCAAACTATACAAGCTGTGTAACTAATTTTACTCTGCTAATATATGTATAAGCAAACTATATGTAAAAACAAACACCTATTTTATAAGAAAAGTGTCTTGTAAATGCTTACCATGTCTGTCAGAGTAGACTGATTGATGCAATTATGAATTCACAATGGTATAATCCATTACAGGCGTGGTCAAATGTATATTTATAATATCTATTATTTTATTTAGTGATATTAGTGTTTAAGATACAGAGCAGAGCAAAATTGTTCACTATTTAGAGGGCTGACCCACCATACATTTTGTTTTGACGTCCTTCAGGAAAGATCAAGCATTAATTAAGGGGATCATCCCCACCAAACCCCCCTATAATTCGCACCCTAAGTGTAATTACATCTGTAATAAATTTCGGTAATGACATTTGTAATTTGTAATTACACTGTTGACCATCCCTTACAGCTTAAACCAACCCATACCACCAAACCTGTCTCTAACCCTACACATATCTCACCCCAAGAACAACAGAAGTGCAATAAATAGTGGAGTTTGCATGTTCTCCCCGTTTTGGTTTCATCTGGGAGCTCTGGTTTCCCCCCAAGTCCAAAGACATGCAGAACAGGTGAATTGGGTAAGCTAAATTGGCCATAGTGAATGAGTGTGTATGGATGTTTCCCACTGATGGGTTGTAGCTGGAAGGGCATCCGCTGCGTAAAACATATGCTGGATGAGTTGGCGGTTCATTCCGCTGTGGTGACCCCAGATTATTAAAGGAACTAAGCCGAAAAGAACATGAATCAATGACTGTTCACTGAAAAGCTTTTTTGTAAAACTGAAATTGCTTGTCCATGGCATCTCTGCAAAACTCTTTCGGCTGATAAATGTTTCTATATATCATATAGCACTGTATAGATCCTAATATTTTTATTTTATATATTATTTAGCCTAGTAACCTTGTTGCAGACAAAAACACACAATAAAAGTGCTAAGTGAAACACATGCAATGATACAGTAAGAGCAGTCAATTCACAGTGTGTAGACAACCAAAGAGTCTTATAAGAAAACTCGCCCCATTCATATTTTATATCTGGGGTTTCCGAGACCCCAAACATAAGTAATGGAACATTTTTCATGGAGGTCTATTCTAAAGCTTGTTATCAATTTTTTTTTATTACCAGCTCTCACGAGAAACTATTGCGCAATCTGATGTCTGAATGTTTAGTACATTTTTCACGATATAGCAAAATGGCCTTGGGGTCTGTCAGAGCCTGAAGAGAACAGCAGGGCCCAATAACATCATACATTCAACAAGCTGCTAAAATCTCATTGCCATGAATGGAGATTGTGGTATTTTTATGGAAGCTGAAGCTATCATCATAAATTAGCGCTTGCCTAATGGCAATTGACCGGATTCCCTTAAAATAAAAGCTAATTTTCCTTTAGTTAATCAGTTAATTAGCAGTACAGATGGTGAGGTTTCCATGTGGCACCGTCTCCCCAAAGACTGGCCTGCAGTGGCATTTTTCATGTAGTTGTCCCTGCTTAGAGGACATTAGAGGGCCTTTTGGCTTTCATCAAAGAGCTGATGTGAAAAGCACATGGCATATGAATCGCACTTTGACGGCTGTGAAATGACAGCTCTCACAGTCGCTGTGTGTGAAGAATGAAGATCATTAATTACAAAAGCCCCAGCTACTTAATCCCACTCGAAAGAGAGCTTGAGGCGTCTGTCGTTCCCTTTGCCCTCCTCTGTTTTTCGCTCTCTTCCGATATCTCTTGTTTTCCCTTCAGTCGCCCCCATTTCTCCTCCTCCCCCACACCCGTCTAGCTGTCTTTTTCTCAGACTCATTCTTCTTTCTCCGTCTCATATTCTTTTCAGCTCTTTTCTTTTCCATTACAAACTGCACTTTTATCTCCTTGTTCTTTCTCTGAATGACTCTTTTTATCTTCTGCGGCCCTTTGCATGTCATGCAGTCCAGCGAGAAGAGAACCGGGAGTTGGAGTCCAGAGGTTTTTTGGACTCAGCAGGGGGAGCGGTAGTGATCTCCTCACCCTCCTCCTGCGTCCCAGCCCTCGGACCACATGCTGAGATGGAGTTATCTCTCGAGGCAAGCTGTTCCACTCGCCAGAGCTTTGCTTCCAAGTCTTCATGCCAAACACCAGCACATCAAACTCCCTCCCATCAGGAAGTGCTATTATCTGCATGAAAGCCAGTTTGATCAGTTGCCTTCCACATATGCAATTGAAGGACAACAACAGAAAAGTGATACGCTTCTATCTGCAGAGGAGCTAGGCTGACCTAAAATTGTAGTGTGTAGTCATTATATATGATGATTTTATTATATTATTTTATTTTTTTATGTGAAGGACATTGTACAAAAACAACTTACTAAAGATTTGACAATGAAGAAAATGAAACTATTTGTAATGTGTTTTACTTATTGATTTGAAATGCTTTGCAATAGTATGTTTGTTAGCAGTTTTATAACAGAGTAAGCTATGGAAAGCTGCTTTGGTTATACAGTTGGTCTATTGTTGCACCTACTACATTAACCAACTTCATTAGACTCATCTGCTTTATTAGACTGATATGCTTAAGATTATGGCATGTTTTTTTGCACTGTGTACATTTATGCAAATCTGAAATACATTGCTTTGGTTACATTGTGTTATATGTTTCACAAACTTGTCACTTTGTAAAAAAGTTTGGGCTTGTCATACAGATCACCAAGCAAATCACAGAACTAAACCCAACCATAAACCCAACCAATAGTGTTTTCAAAAGCAAATGAGAAAAGAAAAATTGCAGTCCGACCACATTTTTACCTTGATTTTACATTACTTTTATCTGTCTTAAGGAATACTCAGTATGTTTACATGGACATCAGTAATCATAATATTTTCCCTAATCTGAATAAGGCAGTAATGTGATTAAGGTGTTTACATGAGTTGCTTTTAAATGTTCCTTTCATGATCCTGTTTGACATGTTATAGCACATAGATTCAGTATGTCATTGTGTCACCACGCTATCCACATTTCCTCTGGAGTTTCATGTAAATGTGAGTGTTTCATCTTAATTTGTTGACTTTAACTGCAGTTTGGCACTTTCACTTTCATTCTGGAACATTTCATGCATGCCCTCGTGACAAACGAGATATTGGATGCGAGTATGAACTGCTGGAAGTGTGTTGTTTTAATGGAATTTTTACCGCACACCATGTGGGGAAAAAAACCTCTGCATTTCGCGATGCAGGCGTCTGTGGTCCTTTAATGATTTAGTAGGTGCAGAGAATAGTGTCAAACAGCCGTGTCGTGTGTGTATGGAAAATGCCATCAAAAAATGTGGCGAAAATCCTACACAACGATAATAGTTTGATTGAGGTGTTTACATGTCTGTACTAAATATGAGTAATGCGACTTAAAGCATGTCTTTATCTGATTTCTGTTTAGTTCAATTATGACCTTAATCGGATTAAATTAATCAAAAATCCCGGTTTACATGGTAGACTCTTAATCAGGGTATTGTCTTAATCATAATAAAATTTTTGATTATTATTATATTTATAAGCGTCCATGTAAATGTACTCTCTGTTTCACTAGAGTCACACCTGAGCACTCAACATTACATGAAGTTTACCACTGTACAAAGCGAGCTACCAAGCAAACTAACCATACTAAGTTGTTCATAAGGAGATAAAGGTTAGATAAATGTATTCCAGTACAAATTATAGTCATTGTCAAGGTATTTATTTGATGTTGTGTGAATAACTGCACAAAATAATTCTATATTCGTCAATTGTTTTTGTAAATATGATTACCCAGCAAGTGTTTTTTGTTTTTAAAAGATGTCTAATAGATGTCTAAACATAGCCGTCTTGGCTAAAACAAGGCTAAATCTTAGCTGTCAGTTTAAATCTAACATACGTCTAAGAATAGGCCAAAACTAGACTAGTCATCAAATAAACAGAAATGAATGACTACACATATAAAGTGTCAAATCTGTCTATTTGACAACTATTCTAGTTTGGGCTATTCTTAAATGTCTATTAGATTTTCACTGACACCCAAGTTTAGCCTTGTTTTAGCCAACCTATTTACATTTAGATGTCTATTAGACGTCTATTAAACACAAAATAGTTTGCTGGGTAGTGTGCAAAGGAACAAAAGTCGATGGTGTTATACTGTCCCATTGAATTCATGTTACCTGAAAACTTCAGTCAAATATATAAAAGTATATTAAAGTTGCTTTTTCTTAAATATGTAGGCAC